ATGCCTTTCAAATGATGTCATCACATTTTACTCTTTCTCTCTTTCTCTCCCCCTCCCTGCCTCTCACCCAATCTCTCTTAATATCTTTCCCCTTTTCAAACCGTTTCCGTCAATCACACACACACACACACACACACACACAAACACACACCCCTCTAGCCCTCCTCCCGCCCCCCAATCAGTTATTTGGCTACGGGGAGAGGGCCGGCGGGGCCTCGACGGGAGTCACGTGACGCATTAGAATAATGGCCGCGCAAGAGGCAAAACATCTTGTGATTTTTTTTTTATGACTGATGTGCTCCCCCCCCCCCTCTAGTTTTATTTCCTGAAAGTGATATCATACTAATCAAAACCACAGAACGTTTAGAGTGCAAAGTGTGATTGAAAGAAGACCATTAAGGAACTGGCAACCCCCCCCCCCCACACACACACACACACACCCGTCACCATATATGGACCCACAATCGTCGGTTTTGCTATTTATTTTTGTTGTTGTTCTTTTTTTGCATCCTCCATTAATGGGAACTGGGTGTGGTCGCCGTAAAGGAGTAGGCAGCGTGCCCTGTCCCAGGGGTACCCACATGAGCACCGACACACACACACACATGGATCCTTATCAATTTATACATTTGTCAGTCAGCGGCGGAGGCAGCCCCGGTGGCATATCCCCGCGGCGGCATTGCATCGGTCGCTCTCCGTCGCACTTTCCCGGTGACGTGCTGTCGGAAGGGAGTGCGAGGTGTACTCGCGCGCACACACACACACACAGTTCCACACACAGTTGCACTCTCGCACACAGTTAGTCAGAGGGGAGTGTGAGTGCAGCAGACAGCAGGCAGAGTGACTGATACTCAGCCTGCCTCCCAGATGGCCTGCTCAACTCTGCTCCAATCTGATCTCGGAGCCTTTGTTCTGGCATGTTCCATTACGCCGCTGTGACACCAGTAAAGGCAGAGGGGAGAGGAGCTGGTCTCAGATCAGATACAGCTGAATTATACATGTATTTCTCTTCTTCTTCTTTTCCCTCTCACCCCTCTGTGATAGTTTTTATTTTTTTTCCTGGGGTAAGAGGCGAGCGACGGTTTCATAGATGGCAGATTAAAACTGTTTGAGTTTGACGGGAGGAAGCAAAAGAAGGAGTAGTGTTTAACGGTTAATGGAAATATATGTATTTTTTTGTTATCCTTGATATAAATGATGATTCTTCGAGGGGATTGATGGCTGGTTTGTCAGAAATAAAACATGTCAACTCAGCAGCGGCCTATGACACTTGAGAGAGATGCATTGGGTTGTGAATACTGAGCTTTCATTAAATATCACACGTTTTTTTTATGTTGTACCCTGTGATATAATTATGAATTCTCTTCTGCCACAGTTCCAGAAAAACAAAACTTGAAAATGTGTAGTGATTGCACTGTAATTCATTTAAATAAAAATATGTTTTCATATAAGCAGTGATACACCCACGGCTTTATTGGCCATTGGGAGCAAAACTGCCAACCCCGTACGGTTTTTATTAGTATGTTTTTACGTGTCTCAAATGATGCCTAAACAATCTTTCTTGAGTTGAACGCGAAATTCCATCAATCCGTTAACACGCAAATGGTGGAATTTGAAGATTGCGAACATAAAAATTCATCTCTTCCTAGCTGTGTGACAGTGCGGCGAAGTGAAAGAGAATTAGTGGCTGGCCTTTACAGGCTTGTATATAAACAGCCAAAGGCTCACCTGTGACAATCACTTTAATGCTGCGTCTCCTACGGTGAATCTTCTTTGCATAAAAAAAGAGATGCGGAGAGAAAATCAATACTCGGAGGATAGTTACAGCTGGGTGTCAACAAGCGATCGAGTGACCCCCCCCCGTCCCCGTCACACACACAGCTGTGCACGACGCCGCCTAATATACGGGGTGACCTTCAAAATGTCATAAATGTGTTGTGCAATAAAGTGTCAATATTTGCGGTTATATGGAGCAGTGTGACTTTTACAGTAATTGGAACAGTCGCATTAAACGCCGCGGATCAGTCAACTGATTAAAGACGAGGGTGCCGGACAGACCGGACAGGGCCTGGGAATGACGCTGATTCCCACACGTGTGTGTGTATGTGTGTGTGTGTATGTGTGTGCGTGTGTGCGACACTCACCTTGCCTCACGTGAGGAGCAAGGAAGCATGGCCCCCAGAACTTCTGTTTTACCTTTTTTCTCTGTAGTGCGTGTATGAACGTGTGAAGCCCATTTATTATTGAAGGGCTGTTATATGCCAGGAGAGCACACTCTCATCCTCTCAGTAATGTGTCTTTCCTCTTACAGGAGCACTATTAACCCTGACACACAAGGACGGGCGTCGGCGTGTGAGTGTGTGACGGACGGGCAGAGCCTGTGTGTGTGTGTGTGTGTGTGTGTGTGTGTGTGTGTGCGCGCGTGTGTGTGTGTGTGCGTGTGGTCTGGTGTTTGTCCTGCTTCTAATCTGTGTTTTGGATTGTTTTTAATTTTAGCCCCATCTGGGGCAGGCAGGTGGGCTACTGTCTGTTAACACGATCTGGGGAGTCTTGCCAAAAGGGGATCTGTACAGTAGACCGCTCGAAATATGTTTATGAGGGGGCGACTATGGCTACAGTATGGTGCAGTCCTGGACCAGGCACTGGGGGGATTGTCGTCGCTTTGATTTATTTATTTATTTCCTGTCCACAGGCCGTCTTTTAAATGGCGTTCACATTAACAATGCGAAAGGTGTGTGTTTGCACGGTGGTGAAATTATGCAGGGAATCGTACATTTCCACCTGTGATATATTATACATGCAAGTTGCGCTTTGTAGGATTTGCATCAAGCTAAGCAATACGTCGTGTCGTAAAGGTCACAATCTTTGTCGGAAATTCCTCTAAACATTTTTTTCAAAGTGGATTTAATAAAATGCAGGACTGTTTTCAATTTCCCATTTCAAACAATCCAACACATTTCATTAGATTTCATTTTTGGAGTTCCAGTGGAAATATTGGACCACCTTAGTTGAAGCTCTGTGTAGGATTTTATTTGTGTTGTCTTGCATGCTTTCTGTTTCTACTCATCGTCTCTGTTTAATATCACGTTTAAAAAACAATGTGAAAAGCAAAATGATGTTAAAACCAAGATCCACAGTTCAACATCTGCTTTTTAAAAAAAAATAAAAAAAATAACTGTCTGCGGGCTTCTCTCCCCCTCGCTAGCACACAGAATTAAACCGCGCAGTTGCCAAGCCCAAGTAGAAGCAGCTGGTATTTAGTATTTGCGCATTGTCACAGACTTACATTTAGGTTGCCTTTCAGTTTCACTTGTGATAAATAGCCCTCAGCCCCGATAGCGAGTGTTTGCTGAATGGAGTCGTGTGTTTAGTGTCAGCGCGGAAGAGGACTTGCTGACTTGGGCCTTTCCATTCTGTAAAAACCTTATTTGACTCCCCCCGACAGAGGAGGAGGAGGAGGTGGTGGGGTGTGGAATGGGAAGCGGCAGAAAAGAAAAGATTAGGCTAATGTTAAAAAAAGAAAATGTCCTTATTGTGCGGCGTGGTTGCCTTAGTGGGTTGCTCGATTTTGATTCTTTTTCTTTCTTTCTGGCTCCCCTCTCCGCCCCTCCTCTCTACGCGCATACCAAATCATGTGCCAGATTAAAAAATAAATAGTTTTTTTTAACTGTGTTTGCGCTTCTTTGGGTCACGCGCGCACTGACACTTCTACCATGGAGGCCACTGACTTGGACTTGTTTTTTCTGTAGCTCTCTCTTTCTCTAACCCCGGCGAAGAAGCGATGAGGGTCACTGTTGCTCACGGGCGCGACGTTCATGACGTCCCGCACTAACTCTCCCTTATACACAATATCAGATCAATAAATGTGGATGTAGATATGGCAGCCTGCACAAAAACAAAAAAAAGGCACCAAAATAGAAAAAACAAAACATTTTCACATGATTTTTTGAAACTTTGCTGTGAAATCTGTAAATCTGTCGTGACAGTTCTGCGCTGACGTTGAACCTCCAGCACAGCGACGCCCCGTCAAGTGCTATTGGAACAAGTACAGATATTTTTAATTTAACAGCTTCACGACACAAGACATATCAAGCATCTGTTGTGTGCGCGTTCCCTTTTTGTTCCTTTTCAAGTTTCTTTCTTTTTTTTTTTACTTAACTACGTTGCTCAGACCTTTTTAAATTCCGCGACTGTCAGCACATCACAGGCTCTTAACCGACCGCACAACGGGGCCGGCGCTCGTGTTCAGTCTGACGGCGACACCCTCACCTCGGATTGTGCTGCTGTCAACACATTCCCAGGTTGTCGTCACTCATCTTCGGAATCGTATTCAGAAGGTGATCGCGTTGATAACAGACTGGTGTTGCGCTAAACTGTGCATCATCGTTTTTTTTGGGAGGGCGGGGTCAAAACCGTTATCACCCTATCATATCTGTGACAGCTACCTGTCAAAATCAGGTCGCAGGGAGAGATGCGAGGAGATCCTGCCATGCTGACATAGCCGAATCTATCTCTCTCTCGCCCTTATTTTTTTTTCTTCGTTCTGTCTTATTTTGCATTGTTAATTTTCACTGCAATCCAGCATATGCTTAATAGGAATGATGATGATAGCAAGGATAAAAAAAGAGAGGCGGTGGTGGTGGTGCAGGTGGCGGTGTTGAGTGTGTGTGTGTGTGTGTGTGAATTGAAAAGGGGGGGGGTGATATCTCAGGACTATGGTGTTTCTAAAGAAGCTGAAAAGCTTATGAACTGTCAGCGTTCTGTCATAGGAGGAGAACATCACGGCCCGTGAGCTCGTTTTGATGCGTTTGACTTTGTGTGGCGTTCACACATTCGAGCGAGGGGGAAAAAACGAGGGACAATGACTGACAGACAGAGGAGAAAGAGGGGAAAAAAGAAAAGAATAAGATGTGATGTGTGGAGGGCTGGCTTTGAAGTGGCACTCAACACACCTTTCCATTTGTCTCTCCCTCCTTGTGCCGTCTCGGCGTGCGCTCCAGATGTCGGGGAGGACTCGGGGAAGGCGGCGGGGAGCGTTCAGCCGTCGCTGTCCCAGCATCGCGAGCGGAGCGTGGCCTCGTCCTCCAAGGACTGCCCCTACTGCGGCAAGTCCTTCCGCACCTCCCACCATCTCAAAGTCCACCTGCGGATACACACAGGTCAGTAGAGTGCACTCACCCCTTCTCCACCAGCCAAGTGCAGGCACATAAGAGTGCATTTCTCCAAGCAATCAAACATTCATTATGCTTCATGCACAATTTACTTTACCACATGTACTGACATTCCTTCTGGGGTTAGACTGGCATATGAATGTTGGCCTAATCACATATTGGAGTCAATCTGCCTCTGAATTGATGGATATGATGCAGATTCATGGATAGCTTATTGATTTGGTAATTGATAATACTTTAGTTGAGAAGATCTGAAAGCTACAGTTGGTAACTGAAGTTGGTTAATAAAATCTTTTTTGTTATATTTGCTTTATCCTGAAAGAAGCACATGAGACTGATAATCTGTGAAAAAGTCAGGTTCCACTGCCTCTTTTTTCTGCTCTTAATGGCAAGATTCAATCGCGCCCTAAGAAAAACAAACAAACAGGGCAGAGGAGTATCTAACGCAGCTGTCAATCATAGCTCGTCAACTTCGATCAAACTAGGCGGCTCTGATGAAATATAAATCAAGAATCTGTTGCTGAATTGTGTATTTCTGACCACAAATCTTTCCAGAAACCTATTTTAGTTTGATGTTTACTTAAAATGAGAAACTTTGCTCCGGTCGCTGGGCAGTGGTTGGTTTTAGACTAGACTAGACTGTTTAGCTTAAACTTTCTAAATCACAGTGTGACAATGCCCTGAAAATGAGCAGAACCGTAAAAACCCTGTTATCCCGGTTCATAAATCATAATCCTGTTTAGTCCACGAGATGTAATCCTAGACACATTTCCGTGCAGTCTTATCAGATGTAATGCATTTTATTGAAATTGACATAAAGACAAATAAATAAACTATTCACGAGGAGGAATATGCGTTTCCTAACAGTGTCCCTCATTGAGGCTTAAGGCCATTATTATTCAGTTTTCTTTTTTTCATTGAGCTCTAATTAACACAACAAGGGTTCAGTGTCCTCCAATGACATCACTCAGAGGGCAATTTCACACTCGCTAACTCTCAATAACTTTCGAGCCAAAACAAAGCCAGCCTGTTCACAGTTTAGGGATGTGCGTGAGACGATGTGCCTAATAGATTTTAGCTTTATTTTGTTGAAGTCCAGCGTCCCAACCCTCCGAGCTGCGTACTCTCCCGCCCCCATACATCTTACCAACCGGGAGCTCGGCCACTTCCTCCGATAACCTGTCCGCCAGTCGTCGCTGGAAGGTTAGGTCTGCAGTCAGAGTAATGATGTGGACTGTGGACAGTAGCCAGAGTCCTAACCCTCTGCAAGGTACGAACGCCCCACTGACTATCCAGGCTAGAGTCACAATTAGACCATGCAGAGGTCACCTTACAACAAGGACGCCTGCTCCCGGCTGCTGGGCCCGGTGCGTAGTGTAAAGTTAAGTTAAGTGTTTAAGGTGATTCCCAGCTGCCTCTCGGTTTATCTCTCAGGGAGGCAGTGTTTCCAAACTGGAAAGAGTGAATTGGTTCGGTGCCTTTACTGAATATATACTGAGAGGAACCGCGTAATCACCTTTTCTCTAATCAAAGTGTCCTTGAGCAAGGCATTAAGATTGTCACTGACAGGTTACCTGGATCCCCTATGGAGAGAGTGAAGCTGAATATCTGTAACTTATAGGGGAAAAGGCTTTAATAAGCAGGTGTCTTTAAGGTTTCTGTTTCTGCACCAATACTATATAGCATAGTGAGTAATGTCATATTTGGCTTAGTCAAAGAAGCGCATTGTCTATTAAAAACATTATGCATATAACTATGCTTTTCTGAAAATATAATAGATTTTTGAACCCGACTTTATCAAATGAAAACAAATACAGAAAAAATTTATTATTTCATGACTTAAAGTCATTTCCCCTTCTGTCAGTCAAAGATTTGTACATCCCTGAATTCCTCTAGATGTTCTTCAAAAGCACATACATAACACAGTCCAACCGCCCCGACCTTTTTGTTACTTTCTACACTTTACAACGCAGTAATCCTTGAGTGCCAGTAGAGAAGCAGAGGGTTAAAACGCTGCAGAAAAAGAAAAAAAAAATCAATGCTTGCTTTTCTTCTTATTCTCCTTCTCTGTCTCGCTTTTTTTCCATCCTTCGCCATTCACTTAAAAGGCAGAACAGAGAGACCACCCGCGCTGTAACCCCCTTTCGCTTCCCTTAATAAGAGGCACGTACTGTACCTCAGATCTGAAAAAAGGAATTAGAGGAAAAGCTTTAAACTGCAGCACGCTAACACGTCTGGTGTACGCTCACATAATTAGGATCCTTATGTTGAACAGCACATCCAGGTCACGGCCAGGCCATCCACAGTAGCTGGGGATAGCGGTGGTTTTCTGGGGGCATCTGTTATCTGGTGGTGAGAGAGCTGAGTTATGTCTGCTTTGAGTAGTCCAGTAAGGACACCCATGAGGGCCATATTTTATCACGAAGGAAGCGGAGACCTCAAGCTAGGCCTGGCTTTAACTCATTTGGCAAAACACACACAGACAAGTAGGTCCATCTAATTCCATCCACACACAGTATATTTAACATGCATCCATTCATATCTCAGAAGCACAATAAAAGAATTAATCCGGAGCCCTTACACGTGGGAGCAAAAGTGATAAAAGTTAGCAAGGATGTTGTCTTTTGGAACGGAATGTATCTCTGGCCGCCGGCCTATCTAAGCACGGCGTTAGCATCGTCTGGAGAAAAAACAGCTTGATGCATCCCCAATATGTGGCCTTTAAATCATCACTATAACCTAATCACTGTGACATCCTGATTACATCCACAACATTACTTTACGGTTAAAGATCCTCTCCGTGCTGCTGTGACAATGCCGAGAAATTCACAGACGACAGTGGGGCTCCCCTTCATCCTAATGCAATGCGAGTGGCACAATGGAGTTGCTTACCAAAGCCAGCCGAGGCTGCATTGTGCAACGCGACGCAGAGATTAATGAGCAGCTAACGCCAGCTTGAAAGGAATGAAGTGAATTTAAATTTCTCCAAAAGTTAAAGAGCTAATGTTACAGTATTAATTTCCTCTTGAACAGTGAGTGGGAAAATATCCATTAGCAAAATTAACCACAGTTTTCTAGGTAGCTAACATTGTGCGGCTGTGGTGCTACAGTGTGGGGCCACAGCTAATGAACACACTGCAGAGGGTGATATTTCATTATACAAATTAATGCTCACATTTTAATGGGAAAGTCACATAATGAATCTAGGCTTCAGTGACAGCAATTAGAGGCCCAGATTGTCCCCTTCTGGACAAGGCACTATTTAGCAGTAAGCAGCTGTGTGTAAAAAATAAAAAGGTCCTCGCTCTTGACAATAGCCACACATAACTTCAGGCAGGGCCGCATAACCAATAAGGGTCCCTTCTTTAAACGAGGAGAGGGGGAGACAAAGAGGGGGAGAGAGAGGAAGGGGAGAGGCAAGACTTGCCCATGTCACTTAACCTTAACCTAACCTTGTAATCAGGATGAATCAAGAGGGACCTGTGATCTCTTCCTCCATTCCTCTCACTCCCTCCCTTGTTCTACTCTTTCTTCCACTTTCTCACTCCTAATACGTTTTTCTAAGTGCTCCCTTTTTCCCTCCAATTCCTATAATACCATGCGGTATCTTCAACACAATGACACTGCTTCATTTAATATACTTTGTTTGCCGTTTGGTGCAGACCCATATACATGTGTTCCTGTGTCCATATACTATGTATTTATGGTGTGACAATTGAACTGTTACTAGCAATCAGCATGAGCCTCATCAGCATGAGGCCGGCAATATACATAACGTTCATCACGTGTTACAACGTTAACAGCGACCACTTCACAACATTAACCAGGTGTTACGTTAACACTGACCGCTTTACAATGTTAACCAGGTGTTACAACGTTAACAGTGACCGCTTTACAATGTTAACCAGGTGTTAAAATGTTAACAGTGACCGCTTTACAATGTTAACCAGGTGTGACAATGATAACAACGACCGCTTTACAATCTTAACCAGATGTTAAAACATTAACTGTGACTGCTTTACAATGTTAACCAGGCGTTACAACGATAACAACGACCGCTTTACAATGTTAACCAGGTGTTACAACGATAACGACCGCTTTACAATGTTAACCAGGTGTTACAATGTTAACAGCGACCACTTTACAACGTTAACCATGTGTTAAAATGTTAACGACCTCTTTACAATGTTAACCAGGTGTTACAATGTTAACAACGACCGCTTTACAATGTTAACCAGGTGTTAAAATGTTAACGACCGTTTCACAGCGTTAACCAGGTGTTACAATGTTAACAACAACCGCTTTACAATGTTAACCAGGTGTTACAACGTTAACTGTGACCGCTTTGGACCAACATTCAGCGTCAAGATATCACGCAAAAGGCTGCTACCAACGTAATTATAGTAACGCTGAGGGCTTCAAGGATGACGTTTAGCGATAAGATGACATGGTCATAGGATTTATCGACAATAATAAAAATAAATTGTAATTCCAGCCTTATCCTTTTAATGCCTCACTTTTGCCATTGGGTGGGCACATCCATCTCAAGTTCCTGATTGTATGTACAAGTGTACTTTCACCTCTGAAGCAGTTGAACTATTAACCCTGATAGCATTATAGGCATTCTCAATTCAACACTAACCACAATTTTAAGCACATCTACTTGAAACAGATGTAAAACAGCTTCTAGCAATTATTACTTCTCTCAAACATGTGTGTTTTTTTTCATCCTTCCGGCCAAATGGAAATTCATCTTCCAGTATGTCATATATATTAAGCCATTTTAAATGCCTCTCTGTACAGGTCTGTGGTATTTATCTTTACTTGTTTCTATGGCGCTGTCACAGTTCACACAAAGCCAGATGAAATCAGTACATACAGCATGAAGTGAAAACATACTATGGAGGAGCAGATCCCAGTACAGCAATCAGGAGACAGATGATTTATAGCCACAAAGGTGTCACTTAGATGTTTATGAATTCTAGAAAGCCGCAGTGGTGCATTTCTTTTTTTTTTACCCTTCTATCTTTCACCTTTGGCAGGAACAAAATGTCCAAAGTTGTCCAACAAAGCCAAGACGGACATCAGCAAAAAGTTTACCGTTCTATTTTTAACTCCCAAATAGCAATTTTCTGGTTTTGTGGCGGCAGTGATCTGTCATGTGGCTGGGAGGTTGTGCTGTTTGCGCTGATATCAATTAAAAGTGGATTAACGGGTACATAATGACCTTTAGCAGTAAATTGTGTGTAATGTTGCAAGGCAGGATACAGTATATTCCCCAGATGTCACACCAGGCCCCTGACGTATGATGGAGCAGATGTCTTAGCCAGTCCAAATGGCCCTCTAAGACACACACACATACATACACACAGACTCAGGCCGACAAGCATGCATAAACATGTGTTCGCACACATTCCAAATGGCGCACACACACACACACACACACACACACACAAGTACGTAGACACAAGTAGATGCAGAAATGCACTTGTCGTCTGTCTCGCTTTCTCCAGATATATTTAAATGCTTAATTTTAATGGAAAAGTGGAATAAACTGATGGCTCTCTGAGGGCATTTGTATTTATTTTCAGTTTGCCTTCCTCAGTAAACATCAAAAGAGAGTGTCAAACACACAACTCTTCTGTGCTTTTCATTCTCATTTTAGATATGTAGATAATACATTAATCTACCCCCCCCTCCTCCCCCCACCACATGAACATTAACAACCTCTTATAAGGAAAGAAAAGACAGAGGCAGAAAAAAAAGATCAGATCAGTCTAATTTCTGTCTAATTTGGCTCCTAGAATATCATTTTGTCCAGTTAGAGGAATTGAGAATGATCATTTGCATCAGGGACGTTTCCTTATTGAATCAGCACAGAGCCTCTGTTCGGCAGCACACAGGAGAAGCACTTATTGGGTTAAAAGCTCATCTCGTATGGTTTATTTTAAATATACTCTATGCTTCATAGCCACTCTAGCGTAAGATAAAAGATATCAGGGCTATCTGACTCTCTGCACGCTCTCTCTTTCCCTTTTTTGTCTCTCTTCGTCTTTCTCTCTACTCCTCTTCAGAGTTTCCACCTTCAATTTTCTTTTGTACACCCTCCTATTCGTTTCTCTCTTATATCAATATTGTATTGAGTTGGTGTTTGTGGCCCTTTATTTGAGAACTCTGCAGTAGGTCTGCAGATCGCAGTCTTTTTCTGGAATGGTGCCCTCTAAATAATGATAAATTACTTGAGCAGTATGCCATTTGCTAATTATATCCATGATTTACTACACAGCCCGACTTAAATCATTCAAACCAGCCTTGCGTAACAATGCCTTTTTTTTCTTTTATAAAATGGTTTCCATGTGTATAATCTAAACAGTTTATGGCCCTATACTGTGTATATAGAAATGTGCATGCACATAAAACATTACAATCATCCTTTTTTGTTCTTTTTCCACCAATCCCCCTCTCTTTTCACTCAGTCACTGTTATCCCTCTAACAGAAATTCCACTCTGGGAACTTTTTATATGTATATATTAAAAAAAAAGAAAAAAAGAATCCAGCTTAGCATTTTTTCCCTCTCTGTTCATTGTTTAATGAATCCAAATCTGGCTCAGACTCCAAGCCTATTATAATTGCAAGCAGGATGTGTTCTATTTCAACATAAGTATCATTCCAATGGAAGATCCACTTCTGGCAGAATAATGCTGGTGTTATACCATTATCAAGAATATTCATTAATATGGATGTGCAGCACAAATAAATATATGTAAATGTTACACAACGGATTCACCCCTCTTTTACCGTAGTGTAACTCTCTTTGATCCGTGTATCCTGTAGTGACCCATATTGTTCTTAATCATAGGAAACTCTCAGCTTCACTGCAACAAGCATGTGGTTCACATATGCCGCCTTCACATTTCTTTTCTTTTTTTCATTTTTTTATCCAAATACTCAATGAGTTATTTTTGCATCGTAGCGTATCATCCATATTGTATTCCAGTGGTCGGGGAGATGCTATGCTCGGGCTGATTTATGCTTCTCAAGATAAACTGCAAATAGGGAATGACCCAGAAATTGCACTCTCATCGCCGAGGCACAGGCCTGACAGCAAGCAAGGCCAGAACAGAGGCATGATGACCCCACTGCATGCACACACATCCATGCACAGATGCACACAGACACAAACAGACCGAGCCGCACCCTCAGCCCCAGCCCTTACCCGTGCAAACACAGATAGCATCAAGACAGTTTGTTGTCAGTTGAAAATATTATCTCTTGTAGTGGACTGAAAGCGCCATATGGTGAAATGTTTTTTTTTTACGGTGTTGATGTGAGTGATGCCTCACTTGGCGGGGCTGGATCGAGCTGGATCGACCCACATTCAGATGCCTATTCCACAACCCTACCCCTGTCACAACACACACACACACAGACACACAGAGTCTGTGGAAGACTAAAGACTGTTCATTATCACTTTGTGTTGTATTTTATTTCATTCTATGCTTTAGTTGTTTTTATTTCTAAACTTCTACTTTCCATATTTATTTATTTTTCTATCTTCCCTCATCCTTTTTTAAAGAGTTAGAAAATGCATTTGTTTTTATGCCTACTAAAAAGGCAATTGCAAAATATCCTCTTTTTCCACAGTAGTCAATGAAATGCACATCTTTTTTTGTGAGCTCTACCCATTTGACCTAATTTTCTTTGTTCAGGGAGGTTACATGACCCTAGGGTCCACATTCCCTGCTCCAATAAATAGATTTTGATATCCAGTCAATCTAATAATCAGGTTAATTATTCACTGTTTTCCCTGTCTTTCCCTTTCTGTTTCTCTTTCTCGTTCTCGGCCTCTCAGGAGAGAAACCCTACCGGTGCCCTCATTGTGACTATGCCGGCACCCAGTCTGCCAGTCTGAAGTACCACCTGGAGCGCCACCACCGCGAGCGCCAAAATGGCTCCACCACCTCAGGCCCATCCTCTTGCCACACCCCTTCTTCTGACCACAAAGAGGATCATGGGAAGACAACCGGTGGCGGCGTCTTTGCTCGACCAGATGTCCTCCGTAATGTCTTCAAGAGCATGCCTCCCAACCTAGACTTCAGGGCAGGTCCAATGCTGCCACATCAGTGGGCATCGGCTGGTATGATGTCTCCGCATGACCGAGATCGTGAGCGCGGGGACCGCCGCTTTGACTCCGCCTCTTCAGCTGAGAACATGAAGACTGCTGATGGCCCGTCTTCCCTCGTCTCAACAGGGACAGATAGCTTCTCCGACCTAAGCAGGGCTTACCAAAGCATGATGGGAAACGGGGTCCACTTTCAAGGTTCTCTCCAGGCCTTCATGGACAGCTTTGTCCTCAGCTCCATGAAGAAGGACATGAAGGACAATCAGAGTTCAGTCCAGCTCCAGGCCCAGTGCTACCATGACAATGGCGAGCCCAAAGCAAAGCGGGCCATTTCGGCTGACCAGGAAAGAGAAGACAAGACTGAAGCCAAACAGAACTCACAGCCTGGTAAACCTGGGTCCCAGTATGAACCACTTGATCTGTCTGTGTCAGTCCGGCCTGAGTCTGCATCCGGGTCCCTCCCTGGGTCTTCAGTCACCATCCATGATAATGTGGCGTGGCATGGCTGTCTCTTCTGCTCCTTCTCCACCTCCTCATTCGAGATCATGGCTCTGCACCTCCAGGCCAACCACCTGGGTAAGGCCCAACAGCAGCGGTCTGATACAGGCAAGGAGCTTCATGGAGAGAACTCTCCCACCACCTCCATCATTCACTCCTCCAACATCAAGACCTCTGGTATGGCCCTTGACGGAGACAGAAATGGGGAGAAAATCCAGGGAGGCTGGAACAACCACATCGACCAGCCCTACAATCCCTTCCAGAGTGACTTCTACAGGCGGTTTGGTGGCTTGTATGATGGATCCCAGAGGGTCAACCAGGGCCTTCAAGCGTATTTAGTCCCTGCAGAGCAGGGTATGGACCTACCCACGCGGGCCTTTGGTGGAGCAGCTTCAGCTGGGGATGACCAGATTGCTGATAGGGGCTCCCGTGGAGACACCGAAGAGGACCAGGCTGGATCAGATGATGAGGTTGCAAAGGCCGGGGGACGCAGTGCCAGTGACACCCCTTCAACCACCCCCAAAAGACAGCAGCAACAGAATTACACCGATGAAGAGGAAGAGGAGAGAGGAGTGGCTGAAGAGGAGGAGGAAAGAGATGAGGATGGGCAAATGGACGTGGAGAGAGAGGAAGATGGAAGTCCGACTTCAGACCGCTTCCAGAACCACTCCAAACAGCTCCAAGACAACTCCTCTCTGCCCCCAAGGGGTGGAGGTGGTTTGGCCGCTTCTTCCTCCGCCATGACACCATATTCTCTGGTTCCCCAAACCAAGAACCAAGCTTTGCCACTGGAGAAGCAGTGGCAGCAGGGCCTGGCCCTCCTGTCTCCTGGAGGTCCCCCAGGACTGTTGAAGACTGAGCAGCACACCCACCTAGAGCAGCAGATGAACATGCTGTCTGTCCTCAGAGCCTACAGCAATGACAACATCCCCGCATTCAACGGCCTGGGAGGCGGAGCACCCACAGGGGGCATGAAGAGGCCAGATGCACCTGGTGAGTGTGTTTAACCCCTACTGGAACTATAACAGCTGTAAAGCACACACACAGATATCCAGACACTTCCACCAGCCCAAAACCACACACATAAAAAGTCATGAATACACATGTGTTAGAAACACAAATTCAATTTTTCCAGCACTTCATACACATCCACACTAAACACACAAGACGAACACATACATTTTTTTCCCTGACACCCACAAAGAAATCTCAGACACTCACTAAAGGTCTTGAGATTGGCTCTGAAGTGATTTCAGCCTTATTTCAAGCAGGTTTAGAAGCTATCAGCCTGCCGACTAGCAACAGATTAATCTTTATTACACGTTTATATTACTGGAAGTGCAGCGCCTCCCTCCAGCTCCGCAGCATGGAGGGAATAACCCTGGATGAGTAAGAGCAGGACCTCAGCTCCCCTTGCCATCTCCTCCACATGTCTCTTAACTATCTTAGCTCTCATAAAGCCGGCTCCCAAAAGCCCATTACTTTTTAAGACTCGTCGATCTATGACCCTGTGAAAAATGAACTGTCAACTTTCATGATTCTGCTAAGGTTACAGCCGCTCCTTGAGACTGGAGAAGGAAATGCTTTTTTCTTATTTCTCTATTTCTCTATTTTTTTTTTTTTTACAACCCTTTTTCGCTATTTAGGGGTGGTTGCTACAGTCTGTCTGTAGGAAGAAAGTTCAAACCTATGGTTGGTGTTGACCTTTGAAACATACTATTACAAAGAGAAAGATTACTTAGCTCCGGTCAGTGACAACTCCTTCATGTTCGAAAATTGAGAGTAATTTGTTGAGAGTGAGCAAGCAATTGCCCATATTTGATTCAAAGTAGAAAACATAATACAGTTTATTTTTTCACATTCATTAACTGCCAGATACAGTATGTTGTAGCTACAATGTTTACTCAACTGCAGTCCCTTACACAGATTGTCATATTTTGCTTATTTTGTCAGATTTAATCAAGAAAAAAAAAAATCTTTTTACTATTTGTTGCCTCACTGTTAGTTTCGGTATTGCCCAATGATAAAATCATAAATCATTTTCATTTTGTGTATGACAAAATCAAGTGACATTTGGCCAGTGAAATGTAGAGTGTATGTCTAGAGGCATACATTCATAAAGGCACAGTAGACACAATAATCTATGATAATAGCGACGCCTCCGTTAATGAAGCAATGCAGCCACATGTGTTCATCTGACCTTTCCATCCGACAAAATATTGTCCGTTGTCATGGAGCCAGGCTCTCTGCATAGCTTAACGTTATGGAAGAATTTTAACCATATAAGATTGATATATAACTATATGTTTCATTTAATAGAGAGGTGCCTGTTTGTGTGAGAACGCGCTACTTATTGTCTTAAGCTATGTAATGTTGACACTTCCCTTTGTAACTAGGAATGCTTGACCTTTATAGATAAGCTCTTCCTCTGTGGAACAAAAGCCTTTCTTACTTGCTGTAGTTTGTCCTCATCTGATTGTAATTAAAAAACCCAACAAGTTATTATGTGTGCAACTTCTTGGCAACGGATATTCACCATTCAGATCTCTAGCTAGATAGCATAGAAACATATAAAAAGATTAAAGGAAACAAGTCAAATCGAGTCATGCTGCTTGAGAATGAATATGAATGAGTTGTTGTACTGAGCTTGACGTTACATTGGGGCGACTTCTGAAGCCTTCAGCAGTCGTACACGTGTAGTAAAGGGCACGGTGAATTCACAACGGACCACAATGAAAGGAAAAGAATCGAGTGATATGTGAGGTCTTTCTCACCACACGCTAACACATATGTTTCTGTTTGTGTGTCAGCGTTAACTCTTCCATGGATTGCATGCTGTGGATCCCATGTGAACTCTTAGCAATTACTTTTCCTAGTATTGATATAAGTCTCTCTGCTGAAACCACAAGTACTGTTGCTCTTATAACTATCATAACGGTGACTACAAAAGCAACTATATGTTTGCTGCCATTACAACAGAGGCTTTAACTATTGATGCTCAGTTCTATATTTCTACTACTCTCTCTACAGTTACCTAAACTGACTACTGCTCGTAGTGTAATGACTATTACCTTTGCTCAATAGTTGAAGACGTTTTGTGATCTTCTATTTAAGTAAGTATCAAATCCACAAAGTCAAATTATTTTTGAAAACCAAACAAAGAGGTTTTGTTGCCTTAACATAACCAAGTCATTTTCTCACATTTTAGTTTTCTTTTCTTTTAATTTACAATGTTAACGACGTGTTTAAAACGGCAATCGTAAACCTGGAGAATGCATTTTAGTCATATGGGAACAGAGTTCTGTAGTCTGTATGTCAGTGCTGTGTGGCTGACCATCGTTACCACTATCACTGCTACTGTGACTGCCGCCAGTTCTGCTACACACACTGCTGTTGTATCACAAAGATTGGATGGGAAAATAGACACTCTTGTTTCACAGCAAAATGCACTATTACAGCCCCTCTTTATGTGTCCACTTGTAAACCCCTTGTGTTGGGGGGGTCACCCACATTCCACTGTTATTCGGTGGGCGGAGAAGGTGGGGGCAGCAAAGACAGCCGCAAAAACCCAATTCAGACCTGGCAAAATGTGATTATCTGGAGTGGGTTTGCATTAGGTTTGTATGCAAATACAGCATAAATCATTAATATCGAAATTCTCCCTTGAATCTGCGGGAGCCGTTGTAGGGCACGCGTCTGGACGTCTGGAGTGGCCGTCTCTTCATTAGTATACCCAGAAGAGGGGGGGAAAGGGTTACAATGCACATGAATCTACTTGCACTCTGACACGCACCAGATACACACATAAGGATCCAGGAATTGGATTTATCAATAAATGTCATTAACAGCAGCACTGGCCCTGAGGTTTCTGTAATCAGACAAGGTATCTGGTTACTGAGGTACTGTACACCGTGTAAAGACTGATACCAACCCGCACCATTTGCTGTACTGTAGATGTGCTTAACGCAATCAATACTTGGCTGCAGTGCAGACCTATCTATAGCCATACATTATCAAACTTGAAGTATTACATTATTGAAACAGTGCTGTACATGGCACGACTGCTTGTGAACATTGCTCCTCACATCGTATTACTTACATTACCTTAGCCCCCTCGTTCATTTAATATATTAAACGTGTGCCAGGACTGTGGAAGGTTGAGATTGACAAGCTTGGAGAGAGGAAGTGTTGATGGCGTTGTAGGACTTGGACGAGCGCGTTGAGGATTCCAGAGGAGAAAATGGCAGAGCTCGTAGCCGAACACCTCTCGCAATTTTGAGAAGTGGGCTACATAAACAGAGAGTTGGTGGATAGGAGAGAGAAAGAGGAGAGGGGATGGCTGTATATTCTCCCATCAATTAGACCCATTGCTTCCAATTAACAAGTGCTCTCACATTGAGCTCTATAGTTCTCCACATAAGTGCTGTTGGTGTTTGTTGGGGATAACTCTCAGAGAGAGTCACCTCCTGTGCATACATTAGATGACAGTAAAATAAGCTTATTTTTGAGAGGATGAATGTTTATGATGCTGCCTTACTTCAACCCTGGCTTGTGCAAAATTACGTTCCCATACAACTCAATTGCATCCTCAATTACGCCTCAATGGAAATGGGGTTCCTCCCAGATTATAGTCGAAGTTTTAAACGTTGTATATTGTAACAAACTTCTTTGTTAGGTTCAGTAAAAAATTGGGTTTGGCTAAAGATAAATGTGCTTGTTAAATCATTTAAGTTACGAAGGCAAACCTAAATTAGTCAAAGTTGACTTTTGGTTCCACACAGGACTCAAACAGCGTTCTACTGTGTTAAAGTCCTGTGTTTGTTTGATCGCAGGAAAATAGTCTACAGTGATTGTTGAGAGGTATTCTAAGAAACGTAGATAACATGTAACCATAAAAGAATTAAATGAAGCAGCTGCTCAGCTTTACTGGCAAAACACTTTCTTCAATACAGGACAGCTCTCACAAAACGTTGAGGTTGAGGCAGAGACACTGACAGGAGGATTGACACGCAGATACCACATGTAATAATCAATCACAAAATGTCCGCCATACGGGAGAAACCCTGAGGCTTAATTGCTGGGCACTTTGCGTGGGCTCTGAATGTAAAACTCTGTACGATTGCAGTGTTGTCGATACACACGCTAAGTCTGAAGTAGATCAGATGAATGCTTCTCGACCTATGGAAGAGATTCCTTGCTTTATATATAAGGTAAATAATGAGAGATATATTCTATTTTACTTTCCCCCCATGCAGTCTTGCTTCGACGTCATTGGCCCTTTTCTCCGACAATCCTAAATTGTAACTGTTCGTGTGTGTGTGTGTGTGTGTGCTCGTGCGTGCGCACTGGGTTAAGGAGGTTGCATCTGAAATACAGCACTGCTTGTGTCACTGGTGGCCAATTACCTCTGTCAGAAGTAATGTTCTCTATTCTGCCGTCATTGTGAGGGATTTGAACCCATGAGTACTGAGGTCATATGAGAACAATGTGCAAGACATGTACAGACCACACACACACACACACATATATATATATATATATATATATATATATATATCAAAGGAGGAGAAGATTCAGAGGCATACTTTCAGAGTAAAGTTCAATAACAAGATGATATGTGTGTGTGTGTGTGTGTGTGTGTGTGTGTGTGGGTGGCAATTAAAGACATATGGTGGGATAGGTGGTCTCGCTGTGAAGCGCAGATGTATTGGATCACAGTTGTCATTAGTGGTGTGATTTTCACTTTATCTGGTTTAAGTGGAAGAAAGGTAGACATGGCAAATGAAGCTCTACACACATACACACACACACACACACACACAGGCTGGTGTCTGTACACGCAAACAGTGTAAGGAATTATTGAGTCTTGGGCCTGCATTTATCAAATTGCTAAAATGTGAATATTTGGATTCAACTGAAAGATAGAAAGGAAAAGTTTTTGCAACTATTCACAAACTCAGTAATAAAAGCTAATGAATTTAGTCTCTGAGAGC